TCTCTCTCTCTCTCTCTCTCTCTCTCTCTCTCACACACACACACACACACACACACACACACACACACACACATACATACTTCGTCCTCTTCTTTTATTATTTATTTTCATCGGTAGTTGGATACTAGCAGTTCTTACTCGTAGCAAAGATATAAGTGATGTTGAACTAAATAGTTTGGTGTGTATAATACGAAGAATGTACATATAGTTTTGTATATATATATATACTCCAAGATTCGTCACGTTCAAAACACTGTTTACAAAACATATATTTAATAGTAACAAAAAAAAGAAGCTTTATATTGATAATGTAGAGACGGAAAGTTCTTTTGATACTATTAAACGAAAACATACTTCTATTCTAATCGAAATAAGCGTAAGCGAAATGTTCCCTAATTTTATCAAGGAGGAATGCAATTGCAAAGACAGCACTTAAGCAATAGTTTTACGGTGGAACTTATGATTCTTCTGCAGAGAAATAAATATATGTGTATACATACACACATCTGTGTACGCATATACATACACGACATAAGACAAATTTGTTTTTATACGAAGTATTTATATATATAAAAAAAAAGAAAAACACCAGAGCACATTTTGTGTTGCACGCGTTCGAAAAGTTATCATTTTACTCTTCTTACCCGTGTTTCTTTGCTAACTCGAATTCTTTGATTCTTATTTTTTAATCGATGCTATCGGAGATCATTGAAATTCCTTTTCTTTCTTCGTCCAGTAGTTAAATTTAAATGAGATTTTATTGAACGGTTGTGCCGTTATTACGAAAATATTCGTTGCACCAAATAAAAGTTTGTTATCTGTGATAAAAAGTATTTTGAAGCTGTCTACGTATAATAGAACAGATTATCCGAAGGAAATTCCAGAGAACTGTTGGCTGAGGAGAAAGAAACCCCAATTATAAGTAGATGCCTGCAACGCCATACAGACGAAAATGAGAGCCAATTCTTGAAAAAAAATACTATTTCGACAATATATCGAATACGTGCAATAAACTTAGACTTTGCAAGTAACACTTGTACTACAAGACAACAAAAGAACAACAAATAATCATGGCTTTGCGAGACGAGTGTATGCGATAAAAATATCGAAAACTTAAAACATGAATTATTACTTAAATAAAGAAACATTTTAAAGAATTCTTCGATGAAAAAATAAACAGTATTGGAACGTTTGAAAGTTGTTAATCAGGCGTTTCAAATATATTGAATTGCATGATTTCACGATCGAAGTGTCTAGAAATATGCGCCACTACTCTCGAGAGACACGAGAATTTTTCGCAAAATACATATTGAATTTTCTGCGAATTCAAAGAACACTGAAACGTTTAATCAAAATTGTATCGAATCAGGCGAGAGACTCTATCGTCTTACAATTAGTTCCGAAAATTCCTGGTACACGAGAGACATGCGTATTTAATAAAAAAAAAGAAATAAAAGTAATAATAAGAAAAACATCTGCGTAACGAAGAACTAATTAATCGAACAATATATTAATAATCACAAGTATATCATGTAAAGTAACAGAGACGAACTCGTTATAAAACGTTTTCAAAGAACAGTATTAGACTCGTTATCGTTGCTTATTAAATCATGACTGGACTGCGGATTTTGTGTATTCACGTTGTTCAGAGTATTCGCAGTGTGTATTATTCTCAGAAGATATATACGGTTGGTGGGAAACAGTTGAACAAGTTTGAAAAGTTTCATGTGCTTTTTCGTGTTGCTACATTCTAACGAAACTTGATAATCCATAAGTAAGATATAGAATAAATGAACTTTTTTGTTCGACTCGATTTTGAAATTTCGGTAAATGCATAAATATTCGCAGTCGACTCATAATGGACATAGTACACACAAGTAGGAGGTTGTAGACAAGCAACGGGCACAAAAAAAAACAAAGAGAAGGAGAGTAAAAACATGTATAAAAAGAGGATGAAAAAACTCCTGGAACCAGTCGTTAGACACTAATTATTTTTATAGTCTCTGTAAGTTTGGACTGTTTGCAAATTTATTTTTCTTTACTCTGCGAGAAGAGACGGGAAGTGCGGAGATTGAGAGTGTGCGAGCTGCTACATGCATATGTATATTCTGATTGCGAGTAGTAACGGCACGGATCCTAGGAAATTCTATGAAATTTCGATACTTTCCTGACACACGTCTGCTACCAAAATCGTCGAAGAAAAGATCATTGAATCCCTAACGGAAAGCAATAAGTTGATAGTATTGGCTTAATACCTAAAATAAAGGTTGGATAACGATAACCGTAACGCACTTCAAATTCAACATTTTGTTTTGGTGTACACACGATTCTCCCCGATAATTGCTCAAGATTCTCGACGTCAGAGTAAAATCGTTTGTCCTATGAATCCAATAGCACTGATTAAGTTACCGATTACCTTTTCAAATCATTTCCCCATGTCGAGACTAATGCAACTAGGGAACAATACATTTTTGTTTAACGTTATAACAAAATAAAAAAAACTAAATGGTTGAGACTTTACTTATAATTATTAGGAGACATTCGAATGTTACGTTTAGGGAAAATAATTACAAAAACCGATACAAGATCTAGACAATTTATAATGAAATATACAATTTAACGGAAACGCATTGTTTATTGATTTATCCTTCCAATAATACCGATACGCAACGCCTGTTTATTTAAAAAAAACAGTGTTTGCCTTATAATGTTGCTTATTTAATTTAGATAGAATAAAATTTCGAACACACTTTTCTCTTGAATTAATAAAAACACTCGTGTTAATTAATGAAACATGATCTCCTCTTGTTTGTCTTATATTTTTTAAATGTTTAAAAACCTCAGTTTTTTTTAGCAATGTCGATATTTCAGAAACCCTGCGTGATTTCCAGTCCACTTTGCAGGTGTCGCTTTTGCTTTTACAATTACAAGTCGATACATGTGCAATTGACTAACGGTTTCAACGTTTTACCATTGATGGCATAAATGTGCATTTCAAAATTGATTTAAATACTTTACTACATGTACGACCATATTAAACAATATATTGTTGTATAAAAAGAAAAAAGATGAAAACAATGAATATGAGAGGAAAATATCGTCTGTAGAATAATACCAATTTTTACGTTGTGCGAACATAGGTGCTTAACCTATTGTGGAGAACAAACATTGCAACCGATGTAAAAATGTTGAACACGCACATTTAATTTATATATATACTGATACATTGTCAGGTGTATACGACAAATTGTCAATGACGGTATAATGCACTATAGTAAGACACTAATAATAATATTGTCTTATATAGAATGGTATGATATTGTTTCAGGGCAAGCAAATCAAGTGTTTGCCCAATGAATATTACTCTACAACAACAATAACAAGAGGAGGAAAATTATTTATCAATTAGGTAATGTATATGTCTTTATACAGATGTGTCAATGGTAAATAAAATTTATATATTCTTGCATATTGACATATATTAACAACTTACGTGTTCAAAGTTTCATATGGTTTTACAGGAAATAGGTTGCAATAAGAGCAATCGCAAAGTTTAAATTATTATATAAACTATAATAATGTTAGTTGTGCTTCTGAATGACTATGTTTATTAAATTTTTTTGTAAAACTTTAAGCAGGA